ACTGCGCTCCGTTTACTGTCAAATTTCGAATGCAGTCATAAACTGAGAGAAGCTAGAATAATAATATCACAATTGATCGTCGATTTATAATGATACTATAGTATTTTAAAACACTTATTGCGAAAACTTATTGCGAAAAATTCAGTTTATTCAGTTTGAAGAAAAGATTTAACTATACAAGATTGTAATTGAATCTTCTTTGAGTCTGTTTTATTCTCCATGACAAGAAGATTACAAACAAAGGAAGGAAAACATTCGCATCAAATTGACTCGATACGAATACTGCGATGTTTAGCAATTTTTATTTGAATACATTAATTATTTGGAAGCTCATTTTAACATAATGCACGCGGTCGACCGGTAATTAAACAGACGATAATTAATCTTTACTAATTTCGCTAATTTTGCCGTTTCTATTTTTTCTGTTACAGAACGCCAGCATACCGCCATCAAACCACCTGCGTAAGTACACTGATTTAAAATTTTCATGTTAAACTTTTTCTTACTCTCATTATCTTTTCGCATGAAGCTGACATAAGTAGCTTTATCTGTCCTCATTTCCAGTCGATCTTACACATATTTAAAAGCACTTTTTTTTTGTTTAAAACATATATTTCGTATGCGTTGACAACGGAAGCATATGCTGGCGGATAATTATATATTCGAGATGAGTAATCGATAACTTTCGAGTATTCTTTAAATTTTTTGGAGTGAAATCTTATTTCAAAAGAATACTGTCACTATTGAAAAAGAATGAAAAATTTGCATTCTTGAATAGGAGCGGCAGATTTTCACTCTTTTTTGGAATGAGATTCATTCCGAGAGAAAGTAATCTCACTCCTTTTTTGGTGTGAATTTTATTCCAAAAGTATGAAATCTCACTTCAAAAAAGAGTGAAAATCTGTCACTCTTATTCAAGAATGCAAATTTTTCACTTTTTTCTATAATATGGTAATATTTTAACTCTTGGGAGAGATTTTGTTCCAAGAAATTTAGAGAGTAGGTAATCGATAACTTCTTCTCTCGCGTTGAGTGATTTGATTTCTTAATATTGCAATGTTTAAAGCCTATTTTACATGTACTAATTTTTCCTCAAATTTGACTCTGTGATTGATCGATTCTTATAACTATACTTACAACTATGTTTACGCAATTGTAGAATTGGCTTAAATCAGTAATAACATAGTTACATCGATGATGGGCGAACCGCGCGGATATGATGGAATAATAAAAAAAGAGCGATTGTAGGATGCATTGGCAAACATACTGGTTACATTGTAAACCGTAAAGTTTACTACCGAGGAGGGCTTTTAATTAAACCGTGCAGCGCGCCGCGCAATTTTTCGGAACGTTGACTATTTTGCTAAATATTTTGTTTTCAACCGCGCGTATGCAAACACGTCGTCGCGCGGTCTCTGGTTGTTTACTCTTAACCAAGCAGCTTTAATCCGCGCAAAAAAGTGCCGCTAGAATCCACGACTCGGACAAATAAAATTACGCAAAGCAGAAGATAGTCGCGATAGCAATGTGTCTCGTTATCGGTGTTACGTTCGCGTAAAGAAAAAAAAATGAAGAAACCGACAACTCGCGAAGAATTGGGAAAGGAAATACGCATCGCGACGATGGAGGGAGTTTGGGCAACACGTGGACGCTGCTAATAAAGATGTTTCGAAGTTTCTCACGTGTCATGGGTTTCTTGCTTTCGCGACAACGGTTGGTGGAACTTTCTTTCGCCTCTCGTAGACGAAACACTTCGTACATTTTTATGACGGACTTACCAGGTCTTCTTACTCCCATCGTCGCCCTTTTTCCGATGTTTCTTGAAATTCCCTCGTGAACTTAGAAACCTTTCGCGAGAAAGAGTCTGTTTTTGATGCAATATATCTCGCTTGTATGTTATCTAACTCGATTCGGGAAATTTGCTCGATAAATAAATAGTGAATGACGATAAATAGATTACCTTATATGTATCGATTTAATCGATAAAAATTACAATTGCTTTCTGGATTTTCTAGTTTTTTTTTTAATTATAACTAATTAATTGACATTTTTTAAATCTTTGGATTTTTATCCAGTTTTTTTAGTTACAACTAATTAATCTTCCGTCGTCCAACTGAAACTTTAAAGATTCAGGCGAATTTTCAATTTTGAATTATTCTGTTTCAAATTCGGACATGTATAAACAAAAAATGAAAAACGTTTCGGATTATATTTGTGAACGTGTGTCACAATTTTTAAGTGTATCACAATTTTTTTCAAAATTTTTAGAGCGTCAAATAACCCTTTAAAAAACACAATTACGCAACAATGGCCTGGTTGAACTATATGAAAGCAGAGAAAAAAAACGTTGGATTACGTTAGGAGAGTTAATCACAATTTTTTTAGTTAGCTAATTGATTGCAATTTAGAACTTTATTTTTGATCAGAATTGCATATATATAATTATAACAAAAGATTGTAGCACTTCAGTTACAGCAAAATTATAACAAAGAATTCAACAATAAAGAGTTCGTTCCTAAAGGCAAGATACCTTATCGTATACTTTGTCCGTATATTCTTTTTTCGTGCGATAATGCTATCTTTCGTTGATCTTTCAGCACAGTGGGATAAATTTAAAACGAATGTGTCGCTGCGAAAGTAAAAATTGCGT